GATAGATAGATAGATAGATAGATAGATAGATAGATAGATAGATAGATAGATAGATAGATAGATAGATAGATAGATAGATAGATAGATAGATAGATAGATAGTTTTTCAGACAGACCGGTCTGATTGATTGCAGCTTGGCATTTTTTTGACTGCTATACTGCAGTTCTATTTTTTTTATAATCACTTTTGCCTTGCCGCCCCCCATACTAGGGGCATTAAGCAGGCTTAAGTCGCTACTGCGATTCATTACAAATTCAGATTTCTTTTTGCTGACAAAGAGTTAGAAAATTAAGTGGGAGACTAGTATAGCTATTTCAGGCTCATTAGCCCTCATCAGCTAGCCACACCCTTTATGGGATTTATGGGTGTGGCTAATGAACCTGAAATAGTTATACTAGTCTCCCACTTAATTTTCTAACTCTTTGTCAGCAAAAAGAAATCTGAATATATATATATATAAACCTTTTCACAGTTACGCTTCTCTTATATGTAGCACACCAATTATCACTGCCCATCTTGACAAAGACGATGATGCCGATTTTGCCCGTTTGGTCAAAGGAAGAATAGAAAAGACACTTCTAGGAGAGGTATGGCGTGTTTCTTAATATTGTGCTTCCCCGAAAATAAGACCAGGTCTTATATTAATTTTTTGCTCCAAAAGACTCATTAGGGCTGATTTCCTGGTTAGGGCTTCTATTTGGGGAAATACGGTACTCAATGCGCCCGTTTGACTGACGATCTTAACCGGGGCTTATTTTGGGCGGCGGGGCTTATATTACGAGGATCCTGAAACAATCATGCTAGGGCTTATTTTCAGGGAAACACGGTATTAGCTCATATGTACAGGTAGTCCTCAAATTACAACTTGGCCAAAGTTAACAACGACACTGAAAAAAAAGGACTTAAGACCACTTACCACTTAACAACTGTTGCCACCTCCCCAGGTTCACATGATCCAAATTCAGGCGCTTGGCAACTGACTCGTACTTATGACAGTTGTGATCCCCCTCTGGAGATCCGGGATAGCTGGATTCACTTAAAAACTGTCCGTCAAATGGGGTTGCCAAACTCACTTAATCACTGTAGAAATTTTGGGGCTCATCTGTGGTCGTAAATTGAGGACTCCCTGTTTTGTGCGGTGGGATACAAGGGATATTCAGAAGCAGACGGGCCCTTGAGAGGTTCCTCTTTCGACTTGCAGATTTCAGAGTACATGGAGGAGGTTTTTCTTCCCGACGACTGCTTCATTCTTGTCAAGCTTTCTCTAGAGCGGATCAGGCTGCTAAGGCTGGAAGTAAGTATGCTGAGCACGGGAGTAAGTTAATAACTGTGAGAGGGACCTCGGAGTCCTAGTAGTGGACAATCACCTAAATAGAAGCCAGCCGTGTGCTGCAGCTGCCAAAAAGGCCAACACAGTGCTAGGCTGCATTAACAGAGGGATAGAATCAAGATCAGGTGAAGTGTTAATACCACTTTACAAGGCCTTGGTAAGGCCACACTTGGAATACTGCATCCAGTTTTGGTCACCACGATGTAAAAAAGATGCTGAGACTCTAGAAAGAGTGCAGACAAGAGCAGCAAAGAGGATCAGGGGGCTGGAGGTTAAAAAATATAAGGAACGGTTGCTGGAATTGGGTATCTCTAGTTTAACGAAGAGAAGGACGAGGGGGGGCATGATAGCAGTGTTCCAATATCTCAGGGGCTGCCCCAAAGAAGAGGGAGTCAAGCTATTCTCCAAGGCGCCTAAAGGCAGAACAAGAAGCAACGGATGGAAACTAATCAAGGAGAGAAGCAACCTAGAACTAAGGAGAAACTTCCTGACAGTGAGAACAATTAACCAGGGGAACAACCTGCCTCCGGAAGCGGTGAATGCTCCAACACTGGAAGTTTTTAAGAAGAGACTGGACAGCCATTTGTCCGAAATGGTATAGGGTTTCCTGCCTGAGCAGGGGGTTGGACTAGATGACCTCTAAGGTCCCTTCTAACTTCATTACTATATATATATATATAGGCTTAGGATACAGGAGGATCTGGACAGACTTGAACACTGGGCGCTATCTAACAAAATGAAATTCAATGGTGAAAAAAAGTTAGGTTCTACATTTAGGCAAGAAAAACCAAATGTACAGGTATAGTATAGGGGGTACCTTGCTCAATAGTAGTAACTGTGAGAGGGACCTCGGAGTCCTAGTGGACAATCACCTAAATAGGAGCCAGCCGTGTGCTGCAGCTGCCAAAAAGGCCAACTCAGAGCTGGGTTGCATTAACAGAGGGATAGAATCAAGATCATGTGAAGGGTTAATACCACTTTACAACGCCTTGGTAAGGCCACACTTGGAATACTGCCTCCAGTTTGGGCAGAGAACATGAGTATTTCTAAGATTCTAGGTTCAAATCATATATTCCATAACTGAATAGAGGGATGCTTTGTTTTGGTGTCATCCCATCACAAGCACTTGGTCAAACTAATATTTTGAACATCTCGGCTAATAGCCGTTGTATCCTTGTGGAACCAGATCCGACGCAGATAATAAAAGGATATTCTCCCCGCACAGGTTAATGCAGAGACTGTGAGATATTCTATCTGCGTCTCAAAGCTGAGAGTGAAGCCTGGGGATGTGGTGGTCCACGGGGAAGCCGTAGTCTGTATTACTCCCCGGGAGAACAGCAAGAGCTCCATGTATTATGTCTTGCAATCCCTGAAGGAAGAACTCCCAAAGGTGAGAATTTTTGATTTTATTGCCATTGGTGGCTAAGTGAAATTGTTCCATTTTTTTTTTTTCTGAAAAGGATCTCCTTCAAAATCTTCCGAACAAGGGGGGGGGGGGGAATTCTTAATATTGCTGCAACTTTTGTTAGGGCTTTTTTGCACGTTCAGCCAGATGTTGACATTGGATTTGGCGTTTGAGTCCTTCCCAAGGAGCTGGGATGGATGTTTGATGGCGTAAGCAGGACGTAAGCTGTTTCGACCGAAGCTGCCTTTTGTAATTGACCGATGGTGATATTTTGTCAATTTCAACGGTGTTCAAGTGATGTTCCAGATGTCCCAAAGGTGCTTTTTCAGGAGGCATCTAGACTTTCTGGTTTTTCTTTGAAGACGTTTCGCTTCTCATCCCAGAAGCTTCTTCAGCTCTGATTGGATGGTGGGGAATGGAAGGATTTATACTCCTTGCAGACAGCTGGTCATTTGCCTTCTTTTAGAGAGTCGTTGAGGCCACTTGGAGGTTTATCTGTGTCCTCAGGATCACCTGAATGGTGCAAATGGGTGTGGAGCCTTCTTGGAACTGCTGAAAGGACTGTGTTGTAGATTGAAGATAGATGATGTCGTATCTCTTCCCTGCTATTGAGAAGAGACTCTTTAAAAGACAAAAGGCCACTTTTTTGAAGAAAGCAAAGTCCACATTTTGAACAGAGAGGACCGCTGATTTGAAAGAGGGATCAAAGAGGGGGAGGGATACGACCTCATCTATGTCCAGTCTACAACACAAATCCTTACAGCAGTCCCAAGAAGACTCCATACCTATTTGCACCACTCAGGTGACTTTGAGGACACAGGTAAACATCCAAGTGGCCTCAACGACTCTCTAAAAGAAGGCAAATGACCAGCTGTCTGCAAGGAGTATAAATCTTTCCATTCCCCACCATCCAGTCAGAGCTGAAGAAGCTTCTTGGATGAGAAGCGAAACGTCTTCAAAGAAAGACAAGAAAGTCCAGTTGCCTCTTGAAAAAGCAACTTTGGGACAACCCTGACCTGGATGACTGAGAATCTCCACAGACATTGATGTTCCAGATGTTTTGGGATTGAACCCAAGGCAGCTATGACTGTCAATACTGTCTTCTTGATCCTTCTCCAAGACATCCCCAGCTTGATAGTAATCCAGACTGGTGTTTATCAAATCATGGACTGTTCAAGCTTCAGTGGAATCTCCTGCACTCCAACCTGATTAAAAAAGCAAATTTCGATTGCACAGAAAGCATTTATTTGTAAAATGTATGAAGCATCATCACCCTCCAGGGGCTGCCGATGATGTTGAGAACCCGAAATTACCATATATAAATAATCATAAGCAATAATAAATGGTAATCATACGATTTTTCTCCCGCTGCTTAATCACCAAAGAATCTCTCTTGAGATTCTCGTTCATTCATATTCTACCCGTTTTCCTTCGGGGAGAACATTCAAATGAGCTCCCAAATCTTAGTAAAAACTGTGAAAGAAGCTTGTAGTTTTACACTACTAATCCTATGTTTCCTAAGAAAAAGCAAATGTTTCTGCTTTTGGTCGCTTCCCTTTCAACATTCTAGGTGGTGGTGCAAGGTATCCCAGAGGTATCTCGTGCTGTCATTCATATTGATGAACAGAGTGGGAAGGAAAAGTACAAATTGTTGGTGGAAGGTGACAACTTGAGAGCTGTCATGGCCACCCATGGAGTCAAAGGAACCAGAACAACCTCGAACAACACTTATGAGGTAACCAACGAGAGGGAATACATTGATGGAACAAAGCAGTAAAGGCAGTGGTTCTCAACCTGTGGGTCGGGACCCCATTTGGGGTCGATCAACCATTTCACGGGGGTCGCCAAGCAAGGCTGTCCGCCATTTTTTTTGTCCACCATTTTTTTTCCCTTTTTCCGGCGGGTGCCTTACCTCCCTTGGGCTGGGCCAGCTGGTGGTCGGCCTGCTCCGTCTCTGCCACTTGCCAGCTACGCCTCGGCCGGCGCAGGGGGTGGAACCATGCATGCGCAGCGCTCCCGGGCAGGGAAAGTCCTCGACTTACGACTGGTTGGGTAGTCCTCGACTTACGACCGGTTTAGTCCTTGACTTACGACCGGTTTAGTCCTCGACTTACGACCGGTTTAGTCCTTGACTTACGACCGGTTGGGGTCGCGGCATTAAAAAGGTTGAGAACCACTGAGTTAAGGGGTCCTAACCACGCAACATTATTCCTTGGTTCAAATCTTGCTTCTTCCGTGAACTGACTTAAGTAATAAAGCAGGGGTCAGATAGATGATAGATAGATAGATAGATAGATAGATAGATAGATAGATAGATAGATAGATAGATAGATAGATAGATAGATAGATAGATAGATAGGAGAGAAAAAGAAAGATGGAAGATAGACAGATAGATAGATAGACAGACAGACAGATGATAGGGATGATAGGCAGATATTTTTTTACGTATTCCTATGGCCTATCTATCAAATAAGCCATAGAAATCTGTAAAGAGGTGAATATAATTGGGTTGGAGAACAGAGAAAATTAAATAAGGATTTTTCCATTTCATGAAGGCAACATAAATTAATCTTCCAGGTTGAGAAAACCCTGGGCATTGAAGCTGCACGAACCACTATTATCAGTGAAATCCAATATACGATGGTCAACCACGGAATGAGTATTGATCGGAGGCATGTCATGTTGTTGTCGGACCTAATGACCTACAAGGTTTGGAATTCCTCCCCCCATTATTGTATAAAATTGCTCATTCTTTCACCTCTGAAAATAAAATAAAAATAAAGAAAATGCTAAGAAAAGTTTAGCAATAATACCCACATGGAATTTGGGCAAGGGCCCTTCTCCTTTAGATATAGGAAAATGCCTTCCACTGAGGACCTGTACACTACACAAACCAGAAAGAGGGCTGATAAGATAACCACAGACCCCTCACATCCTGGACACGAATCTGTTTCAACTCCTGCCTTCAGGATGCCGCTGCAGGGCATTGCACACCCAAACAATTAGACACAAAGGTAGTTTTTTTTTTTTCTCCCGTGCCATCACTCTGCTGAACACCTAATTCGCACAGCCCTGTCTTAGGCCTAAAGGTATTTTTACCCACATAGTTAGGGCTGTATTGCTATTATCCTTCTCATCTTTCCTACTACCTTTCCCTGTGATTTATCACTTGTTGTTTTTAATCTTATGATTAATGATTGCAACTATGATCTATGATGTGTCACTTTGTAGTTTGCATGTACACTGAGAGCTTCTGCACCAGTTCCTTGTGTGTTCAGTCGCACTTGGCCAATAAAGAATTCTATTCTATTCTATTCTATTCTATTCTATTCTATTCTATTCTATTCTATTCTATTTTCCATTCTCCATTCTCCATTCTCTATTCCATATTCTGTTCTGTTCTGTTCTATTACATATTCTATTCTATATTCTATTCTATTCTATATTTTATTCTATTCCATATTCTATTCTATTCTATTCTCTATTCCATATTCTGTTCCTATTCTATTCCATATTCTATTCTATTCTATATTTCATTCTATTCCATATTCTGTTCTATATTTTATTCTATTCTATATTTTATTCTATTCCATATTCTATTCCATTCCATACTATTCTTTATTATCCTTTTCTATTCTTTTTATATTTATACTCCCATCCCTTGTTCTTTGTTGTTGGGCTGTATTCTGTGTATGCTTTATTCAAGACTTGGGTAGCTAATTTCACAGCGAGTCAAGTCCTGCAACGGGAAGGGTGTTTTTTTTTTCAGAGAGGGCAATTGTATTTATAATCCTTCTTTCAACTGATGAGAAATCAAGTAATCCCCGTTGGTTCTATCTGGTTTTCATCCCAGGTTTTTGTTTTTAAATAGTCTCTGTGTTATCCATCGTAGTACGAAATTTGGCAACTCTATAGTAACGATAATGGTTTTTGCTCTTCCACTCCCCCCCCCTTTTTTTGGGGATTAGGGTGAAGTTCTGGGGATTACTAGATTCGGACTAGCAAAAATGAAAGAGAGCGTCTTGATGCTTGCTTCATTCGAAAAGACAGCAGACCACCTCTTCGATGCCGCCTACTTTGGGCAGAAGGATTCGGTGTGCGGTAAGTAGAGTAGGCCAAGAGGTCTCCTAGCCATTCGGTACATCTCTATAAACCAGGTGTGTCGTTTGTGTAAAATCAATTGAGTTCTTAGGGTAGAGTGAAAAAAATATATGTAAGAAGGCCTTTTCCACTCAGTTCCTCCCCCTAAATATTTAGTTTTTTTTCCTGACTTTCAAATGTGGTACAATAAGGTAATGACTATAGAGATTCTCAGTCATCCAAGTCATAGTTATCCTAAAGGTGCTTTTTCTTGAGGCAAAAGAAGGGTGGGAGGGAGGGAGGGAAAGAGAAAGAAAGAAAGAAAGAAAGAAAGAAAGAAAGAAAGAAAGAAAGAAAGAAAGAAAGAAAGAAAGAAAGAAAGAAAGAAAGAAAGAAAGAAAGAAAGAAAGAGAAAGAAAGAAAGAAAGAAAGGAAAGAGAGAGAGAGAGAGAGAGAGAGATCAGGAAGGATGGAAGGAAGGAAGGAAAGAAAAAAAACAGGAAAGGAAGGAAGGAAAGAAGAAAGAAAGAGAGAGAGAGAGAGAAAGAAAAGACATTGTTTTCCATAAGGAATAATGTATTGAATCACACAAAGCAGCCCACACCGACAAGTTCTAGCTTGTGCGTTGAGTACTAAACAAACGATGAGTACCGGGACAAAACTTTTCACATTAAAATGCGTTGAGTATCCAATACGATGAGTTTCAGACATACAGCTGAGTACTGAATGTGGATTTATTTTATTGATATTATATAATTCTTTTTATATATTTTTGCTGGCAGAGGTTAAAAGATACTGCTTGAAAGATTTACAGGCCCAAGAAACGGTTAGAGGTTTGAGGCACAACCCTCAAGCCATTGTTAATTAACACACACACACACACCCAATTTCTAATTCAGAATAATATCAACACAGGTGAAGATCTCTCCCACACTTCTTCCACAGGCTGTCCCAGTCAGGAAATATTAATAGGCTGAAGATAGGCTGTTTAATAAATAAATCGTGCAGGTGGAGAATGAGAAAAGCTATGGAAGGGTGAAACTTTTCTTCTTCTTCTTCTTCTCTTTTCTTGATGTCCCACAGGCGTTTCCGAATGTATTATTATGGGTATCCCAATGAACATCGGAACGGGACTGTTCAAGCTGCTGCATAAAGCCGACAAGGACGCTGTTCCACCCAGACGGCCTTTAATTTTTGATAACCCCGATTTCCACACCTCCCTCCCATCGTAGCAGCAGCTGGCCAGCACCAGAGAATAAGTTGATCGTGTGTGTGTATATATATATATAAATCTATCTTTTTTAACTGAAACGTAAATTGGTGTGTGCTTCTCAAACAGGGTATGTGTGTGTGTGTGTGTAACTGAAACGTAAATTAGTGTGTGCTCCTTATATGGTTTATGTTGTAAATGGGTTATAAGCAAATGTCTATTTAAGAGTCAAAGTAAGCAAGGAAACTCAACCCAGAAGCGTGTGTGTGTGTGTGTGTGTGCGCCCACCCAATAAAATGTAAAAAGGAAATCTAAGATTCTAATGCTGTGAATAAAGCGACATTTTTTCCCACAATGAAACGGAGGAGGGAGAGATGCATTTTACTGGATAAACGTTTTATATTCTTTTTATGAAGTTATTTATTGTGAAGTTATGTCCTAGAAGACTGTATACACATAATATACACCCTTACAGCAGCGATGACAAGGTAAAGTAACCTAAAAATTAGTAACCCCGATAATTAGAAAGGAAGAAAAACTTGGGACAATTAAAAGCAGAACGGCGTTCCCCAATTTTGACTACACTGCTCTGCAGATTCCTTCCTTGCTTCTGCCAGCATTTGAATTAATTTAACTTTCTACAAATATATATCACGATTCCACTGCTGCAAGTCCTATATACATTTCTTCTAGTACTGCATAAACATTTTAACCAATTCCTATACCTGAAACCAAAAACGTACAATTCTTAATATCTTGGTAGATTCCAAATGTGGGTACGTGTGCCTGCCGCTTGCACAAATGGAGCTATGTGTGTTCACACCCACCCACCTGCCACTCGCAGGAAACTACACACACACACACCCTGCTGGGCTGCCAAGCCAGAAAGATTGGGTACCGCTGGATTAAATCATGGGCTGTAAGTAGAAAAATCTCAAAATAAACAAATGGTGAAGGTGAACAACCTTTAGAAGTGGCAGGGACCCTATATATATATTTTTAAATCCCACGAAATCTCTTTTTTTTAAAGAGACTAGAATAATCTAAATGCAATTCTCCATAGTCTTATCTTGGTAATCCTTCTGTTAATCCTTTGAGGTAATCCATATAATTAAAGTAACGGAGATAAGGAAAAGGACCGAGGCTGTGTAAGTTTCCAAAAGCCTTAATTGAGAAGTGTTTCAAATGTTTGTCAAGGCTGCCAGCTTCTTCTATTACATTAGAGTCCTTCAACCTTCTGGATGGACATTATGGACATTCTCATAAAATACTATTATATTCTGTTCTGCTCTATTCAATATTCCATTGTTCTGTTCTATTCTATTTTCTATTCTATTCTATATTCCATTATTCTATTCTATATTCTGTTATTCTGTTCTGTTCTGTATGCCATTATTCTATTCTATTCTGCATTCTGTTCTATTCTATTCTATTCTATTCTGCATTCTATTCTATTCTATTCTATTCTTATTTGTATTCTATTCCATTCCATTCTTTAAGTCAACTTTTCCACCTTCTGACTCCAAAGTTGCTCTCATACTAAGAGACAACAATTCCCCACGGCACTTATATCAAATGAAGCGTGCCGGGGCTGACTTTAATTCAGCCGTACACTGAATTCAATTCCTTTAGGACAATCTGCCCTTACGCTTGGAGCAAACTATACTCTGAATTGTGAGCTGGGATATGACAGCCATCACCATGATGACCTTGGACATTTGAGTAGAAACGGCCTCCTGCAGTGAGGAAATAAATTGGGCTTTGTGCTAGCACCTCTGGGTCCGTGGGATACAGTAGGTTGACTTATGTGGGGAAAGGGGTGTGTGTGTGTTAAATAAGACAAATTGGCTAAGATTCACTGGTGGGACCACCAAAAAGTGGTGGCTTGGCCATGCCCCTTTGCAGCCTTGGGGGTGGCCAGTCTAGAGAAAACAAAGACTAGGGGTGACATAATAGCAGCGTTCCAATATTTGAGGGGCTGCCACGAAGAAGAGGGAGGGGGCCAACTTTGTCAATTGTTCAGGAATAAATATGAATTAGGATACAAAACCTCTAGAAAAAGAGCTGACAATTATTTACATAGGCACAGGAGTCTGTCACTGAAAACAGCTACTTTAATAAAACCTGAACAGACAAAAAATGATGTATTGGGATCTGTGGGTGGACAAGTTATTGTTTGATGTCACCGCGCACAAAAAAAAAAAAAGCGCTCACAAGCACACCAGCTCTTAGATCCATAGAAGAAGAAGAGTTTTTTAGATAGAAGGGGTCAAGCTGTTCTCCAAAGCGCCTGAAGGCAGGACAAGAAGCAACGGATGGAAACTCATCAAGGAGAGAAGCAACCTAGAACTAAGAAAATTCCTGACAGTGAGGACAATTAACCAGTGGAACCACCTGCCTCCAGAAGTTGTGAATGTTCCAACATTGGAAGTTTTTAAGAAGAAATTGGACAACAATTTGTCTGAAATGGTATAGGGTTTCCTGCCTGAGCAGGGGGTTGAACTAGATGACCTCCAAGATCCCTTCCAGCTCTATTCTGATCAATTGGATAGGAAGAAAGACTTTCTGGGATCTGGTATGTGGACTTGCCTTGTTTATTTTCTTCATTGTCTTTTGATTTTGAGCCTGTGGCAACTCACTCCAATCCCTGGAGGAAAAGACAAGCACAACCGCCGGTAGATTATTTTGAATGTATTAGCATGACTTTTGGGACCTGGGTTCAAATTTATCTCTCATCCCCAAGGTGTCGCTCGCATCGCCTTGCCGACAACCTTTGCAAACACCGTCTGTGCGAGATTTGAATGATTTTTCTTGCTTCTCAGATGACTTTCCACGCTTAAATCATGACAGCTTACTGCTCGGTGCCCAAGTCTCACCAGGAGAGGAGCAACGGCTTAATCCTTTCTCTAATTCTGCTTGCATTTATTTGCATAGCTGTTGACCTGAAGTTTTGTGGGTTGTTTTTTTTTTTTACGACGCAAGTAATTTATCAGCAAATGAAATGGCACTTTCCCAGAGAATTCAGAGAGAGGGGGGGGGGGACAAAAAAAGTCTACTTGACCTTTACTGTGATGTTCTTAATGGTCCTAGGGCAGATACCAAAATCTGTCTTAAATTGAGTTTTGTTGCTAGCAGCTCAATTTAATGCAGGGGTCGCAACTTTAAGACTTGTGGACTTCAACTCCCAGAATTCCTCAGCCAGCTTTGCTGGGAGTTGAAGTCCACAAGTCTTAAACTTGCCAAGGTTGACGACCCCTGCGTAGTGGGTGCAAAATCTAGAGTGAGGTATGACACAATCCATTAAAAGCAATTCCTACAGTTTTAAAATTGGGATGGATAACAAGAGTCCATTTTAGATTTTTTTTCTAAGAACTCAGCACTGGTTAATATCTACAGCCACTTAGACTGACTAATCAGCAAGATTCAAGTCTTTGCACTCTTTGGTCATTCCTAAAATCAAAGTGGCTTTTTTTTTTTTTTTGCAAAGTCGTATAATATATTTTTCAAAACAAAAACCAAACTTTTTTTTTTAAAAAAAAAAGTTCTTGCTTTTAATCGATTATATAACAAACTCGTATAACATTTATGTGTTGGTCATATAGAACACTAGAACCTTTTTATGATTTTGTTGAAAGTTTTAAAACAAAATAAAAACTACAAACTGATAGAGAGGAAGGAAGAAAAAAGAAAACCAGAAGGCTAATAGTGCAAGAAAGGGGGAAAAGTAGAAGAAAAACAGAAGGTGCAGTGGAAATATTTCAAGAAAACAGCCACGCCAAGTTCTTTTTATATGATCCATTTACATAATGATTACATAAGTTATTTATGTAAGAGTCACCAGATCATTTCAAGGTAGTGTATATGAAGGAGGATGAGGCAGCTATCTTGAGTTTAAAATTGAGAGCTATAGTACCAGGATTTTCAGACATGTTCAACTGTAGAAACCTCTAGCTCAGTTGTTCTTGGTAATTTTCTAAGGAAAAGGGGGAAAAAAGAGAGAAAAAGCTTATATAAGGAAAGACATCACAAATGGACCTGCCTGCAAACGGAAATCCAGCCTGCATGAAAAAATAACAATTATAAAGAAATTAGAAGAAAAATGGGTGGAAACTTAACCAAAGGTGGCATTTCTACTGTACACTTTTCCCAAAAGGTTTCCACAATTTTGGCCACTATTGTATGTAAGTAGAATCGTGAGACCCATGTGTCCATGGGGAGCGTAGACATTACAGGTATGTCTTTTCAAAAGCCAGTTCCAATAACTGAAATCCAGACTTAAATCAATGGGAGTGAAAAGTCCACACCATGACAAGTTGTACCGTGTTCATAATAAAGAATCCATCGCTCTGAGTCTACTGCTAAATTGGTACACAAGTGTTGAGAAACTTCCAATTGCTATCCAACACTAGCTGTGTCTCGGGACTTAGCCAACTTTGATTGATCTTCAAAGACTATGTAGGATCAGGCTTGGTTAGCATGTGAATGGGAGACTAGTAGAGAATTCCAGGCACTATAACAAATAATAAAATATTGAGAATTCCAGGCTGAAATTATAAGCTGGACTGGGAAGCTGGGGGGAAAAATAACATCCCAGAAGGTGGGAATTGTAAAGTATTTCCAAATTGTTGGCTAAGAAAACTACACAGATGTTGACCGCATGTTATCAAGCGTTGAGCTTGACTTGACATAAGTCTCTGAAGGGATAACCTGGAGACTACAGAGAAGAAGAAGAAAGTATATAAATAGGTTAGAAATATCCACATGCATTATTACGGAGAATGTTACTGAGATGCTGTTTTATGACCTGCTTGCTTTCTTGTTTAAACCTAATCTTGCTCCTGCCCAGATTCTTGAACTAGATGGCTGGTTTCTTGTCCCGAGTTTGCAGTTACACCGTTCTTAAATGCTGAGAATTTCAAGCAGTCTGTAATAGAGAAAATTAGTTCATGCCTCATATTAACAAATTCGAATGCCCCCGATGTAGAAGATCATTGGGTTGTGTGTAATTCAGCGACATGCAAAGAAATAGCAGTTGTGACTGCAAGCGGCATCAATGGGGTAGCAGAAATGTTGAGTGACATCCTGCATAAATAATTGGATTTATTGATATCGAGAATATGAGCAAATGTGCGAACAGCAGTTAGATAGTAAAAAGAGGCTGGTCTCCATATGAGCGGGGATCGCGCCATTTCCAGCAGATGGCAATGCTTTATTCCCAAGTTCTGGATGTTGTCTCTCACTGAATTATCTGCCTCTCTCTTTTTCCCTTCATTAATACTCAACAAAACTTCTCATGGGGTTGCAAGAGACATTTTGTTCCCTGGCCAGTATCAGCAAATCGTTGCAGTTAGACG